GATGTCATGCCACTTGCGTCCAAGGTGAATGAGATACAGAATCTTTGAGTACACCATGCCCAACGTTGCAAAACTCTTGTCTGGCATCGCAAAACACATGTCCAACGTTATTTAGGCAAAGAGTCTCTACCTGATGCCAATAAACTTGAGTTTCATGTCACTAAGTCAGAGAGTTCCAAGGGCAATCACACTTGGTGCTCCTTAACCCACGTCTATTATGACCAAGTCAGAGGGCTCACCTCTAACACATACCTGAAGCTACTTATCTCATGCCTAGTGTCAATGAGGCAAAAAGCTTCTATCCTACATCATACTCGACTGCATGAAGTTATGCCTAATGCAATGATAATTTTTACACTTGGCAGAATCACGATTTGGCTCTAAAACATGCAAACCCACATCAAAACCACCATGGAATACATCAGGTAGCACATATGCATTATAAATAATTCAAATACAACTAAAATTTCAACATGCAACCCGAAAAGTTCAAAATCACCAATTTTCCTTCTCTTCAAAAGCAACCAAAACTACATAATAAGAAATGTAAGCTTCTCAATTCATGACAGTCAATCATATAAAGAATCAACATCAATTCATCAACTACAACATAATAATAATTTCTCTACAAGTTTCCTTTACCTTAATTTCCAAAAGAAAGAGGAAGAAGAAGAAGAACGAGACCTCCTAAGCTAACTCCATTTGACAAACACAATAACTTTGATTCTTGGGTCTCTAAGCTTTGAATCCCAACTTAGTTACTCTATATACGTTCTAAGAAAGAAATAGAGCTGTCTAGTGAAGTCAGGGAGAGAAATGTTTCCTTTGACTTTAAAGCTTATCTCTCTAACTTTTCTCTAAATTTCTTAAGGGAATGAACTTATGAAATTTAAGTTTTAAGAAAATCATATATACTTTCTCATAAACTTGATCAATTTTGATCTCAAATCAAAACAATTAAATTTATAAGTATTCTTTAATCATTAGAGTTTTACAGTAATTAAATAAATAATTTCAAAATTAATAAAATTAATAAACACCAATACAATTTCATTGTGTTATAATATTCGAATATAGTCCCCTTTCGATCAATTAGCATGTTTTCCTATTCTAATACAACAACAATCAATCGAATAAAAAAAAAGGTTATTCAAATACACATCAACATTTGTACACCTCGTGCATGTAACCGATGATCATAATTGATCGTCCCAAATCCACCGGTTTTGAATAAGAGTAGTTTCAAGAGGCTTATTCGAATGAGAGAAGAAAGAAGTATGACGAGGATAAGAGTGTTTCATACTTTTTTTTTTTTTACGTTCTCTCTTTCATATTTTTTCTCGATCTTGCAATTTTTTTTTAAGAATATTAGATCCACCTCTATTAATTTGCTTTCTGACAAAAATACGCTTAACCAAACGATACATGTAATTTTTTTATGCTCCTTCGTCTTTATTTATTTTTTTTTTAATTTCTTACCGATCGTAAAGGTTAAAAAAACTATATATTGTGATGAAAGGTAGTTCATAACGTGAATGGTCTTTACCTATTACAAAAAGTAATGATCCTTTTCAATTACTAGAAATCAAACAAACCGTATTTAATTATTTAGGGTAATCTTACAAGGGGATGTACTTAATGATCTTTGATATTTGAACCCTAATCACTCAAGTGGTGGTTTGAAGGAAAGAGCATCTAAATCACTGTTATGCTATGGTGAGATTGATGGATCCCCATAATCATTCACATCTTTATGGAAATGCATGCTCCTTTTGATTGCAACGTTTTGTCAATCATTCTCACGGTGGGGCAAGCTGTGTGCAACATTCCACAACCTTTTCAAAAGAAACACAATCATTTCTCTCTTTGACTTCAAAAGTACTTGTTTATTCCCGTATATTTATCTCAATTTTCATTTATTATTTTTGTATTATAGTTTTATATTATAAATTTAAACTCTCATTCTTAAATAAAAATATTTTTATCCGTTACAAAAAAAAGTGTTATTTTTTTTTATAAATTTTTTTTAAAAATATTTGCAGGAATTTTTTTAATGAATTTTCTTATAATAATAACTTTCCAAAAATATTTTACGAATTTATTTATGAAAAATGATTTATAAAATTTTTCTACAAATTTTTTTAAAAATAATTTACAATAAATTTTTACAAATTTGCTATGACTTTAATGATCATAAGAATTTTTTTACAGTAAAAATTCACAAAAAATTCTATTTTTTATAGTAAAAATAAAAAAAATGATGTAAGAATTTTTTTTTGTTTTTTATGAATTTTTTTGCGAGAATAAACTTATCGGTAATATTTATTAGTATTATAATTATAATAAATGGTAGAAAAATTTTACAGGTAAATTTTTCTGTGGATTTTTTTTACTAATTTTAATCCATGAGAAAAATAAAAAAATGTTTAAATTTGTAAGTTTAAAAATTATTTTTTTTTCTCAATTAAAAAATATTATCTTTTTAAATTATTTATAAATATATCATTATAATTAATTTTAAATTAAATATATAAATTTTATAAATATGATAAATTAATGATAATGATTTTTACTTAACAAAATATTATTTTGCTAAGTTATTTATAAACATTTCATAAAAATTAATTTTAATTTAAAAAATTAGTAAATTAAACATTTACTTTAATTAAATGTATAAATTAATGATAATGAATTTTAGTTTAATGATGATTTTCAAAATAAAATTATTTAATAAAAAATTAAATATTTTTTTGAATATTTAATATTTTAAGATTTACTATAATTTATAATAATATAATTTTGTAGTTAAATACAATGAATTAATTTTTTTAGGGACATAGTCTAATTAATATTTAAGGAAAATCTCAACTCTCATATCGATTAAATGTAAAACAATTAAAGAACATATAAATAGATATAATATTCACCTTACAAGTTGATTTTGTATGGTTGATTTAAACTTGTAAACCACATTTTAAGAGTTTAAGAGGTTATAAATCACATGTTAAAGGCGTGAAATTAGACTAAACTCCCGATGCTTCAGATGAATTCATTTGTAAATGTTTAAAAGACAAAATTTCAAATTCCTTATAAAGTTACTTACAAATAATAAATTTGCAGGAATCTTTTTTTGCAGTAATTTCTTTAACTTTTTTCACAAAATATATTTTTATTTTTATATTAAATTATGTAAATTTTCATATATTAAAATTTAGTTTTTATTAATAATTTTTTGGTTCTTTTAATTACTATTATGTAAATTTGTTTTGAATTTCAATTTTAAATCTTGTGTGCATATATATATATATATGTATATATATATATATTAAATAAAATATATCTGTATATTTTAAATAAATTAAAATTTATTATAATTTTAATGGGTCATAATTTAATTTAAGTTTCATAATTTGAATTTTAACATAATAAGCTAATGAAAATGATGTATCTTAATCTAAATAATTTTTTATATAAATTTATGCAATTTTAAAAGTTTATTCTTATATAGTATAATTAAGAAAATGTTTATTTTAGTTATAACACATCTATTATTCTCTTTATTTAATTTTAAAATTTTAAAAATATTCGTACTATAGAAAATAATTGCTAGTTTTTTTTTTTTGTTCGTATCATTACATTTTCAAGACCTTTTCTTCTCATAAATTCTATTGTGTTTGGGTATACCCTAGTAGTAACACCCATAGCCAAAATGAAATTTACAGTCATTTCTCAATAAATACACAGCTATAAAATTTCAGCCTACTAACTCCCATTGCATTGCACACTTATATATATAACCCGTCAAATCAAACCCGCTTATATAACTATTTTTTTATTTAAATAATGCAACTATATATTTATATTATGCATCATTGGGGAATTCTGTAGCAAGTGATATTTAACTTGAGTCTGGTCTAATCCTCCAGCTTGTCTGAACCCAAGAAAATACAAATCCTTCACATTACTTCATGCATATCTTAGGTAATATCCTTTTAAGGCAATGCAACAGATACTGACAGGGAAAAGAGTCGATAATTGGTAGAAGTGGGGTTTGGTTTCTCCCCTCATGCATAGGATCCTCATTTGTTAATTTTAGTCATACTATGTATATAAGAAGGGAAAAAAAAAAGTAATCATAGTAGCACTCGCAGATAATAATTGTGCATGCTTTATTCTTTTTTATTTTCATATCTTTATACTTCATATCAATACATTATCATGTTATTTGCTACCATTAAAACATCCAAATTCTTTCCAATACTATCCACTTTAATGATTGTTAACTCAAGGCAAGAGTGCCCGCGTCATGGAACAATATGGAAATTGTTAAAGCTTAAATGCTTTTTTTTTTCCTTTTTCTTTTTTCTATCAAATGTGACAGCTGTATAATATCTCCTAAATTTCAATAGAGTGAATTTTTTTCTTCATATAATTACTTGAAGTGATTTTAATCGTTGAAATACAATTAAAATCTTAATATTGTTCAAATAATAGGATAAATACAAATTTATATGTACATAAATTTTTTATTAGTAAATTTTTTTTAGTTAATAATTAAAAGTAAAATTATAAAGATTTAGTCACAAAATATACAATACTTTATCATAGTGGAAACATATATGTATGGAAACTTCTTTACATAGTATTAGAATGGATGATTTTGATCAAATGACTGACTTGATATTGACGATAAATGTGATGGAATTAGTATATAGATTTAAATATAGGATTTTTGTATCCAAGGTGTTCCTAACCATAAATCCATACTTGGTATAGTGTTTTTTGGTAAGATGGAGTAGTGTGTGGACTCTGCGCACAACATTATGATAATTATTGGTTATTGGGAGATTATGTTTTTAATTAGAGAAGAAGAAATGATTTGGGTGGAAGTGAAAGAAATGAGGTAGGGTGAGGCCCTCGCACGCAGTGCCCAGGCTGGTTTGTTTCTTCCTTTATAAAAGTTCTACCCATCATCTCCTCTCCTCACTTTCCCACTTTACTGACACAAACACATACTCCCCGGAATCTCATATTTCCGTCAAACTAGCTGACACAACACAACCTTTCTTTACACAAATCACAACCACTTACTACTGCCTTTCTTTCTTGCACCATTATTATATTATTTGGATACTAATCTTTATTTTTACTCTCCTACCATCAAAATCCTCCTTTCTAGTTTCTACAATTAATTACTCTTTTATAATATCATGCTAAAAGGTAAAAGCTCTCACAGTGTTCCCTCTTTTTAAAAATCAGTGGCACACTTTCATGCTACAAAAGCCCCTGTCAAAACTCGTTTCTCTTCTTAGAATAGTGTTCTTTCATTATTTCATACATGCTTTATCAATCGCAGAAAGTAAACCGGACAGTCCCTAATAAGCACCTGCTCAGCTCCCCAAAATCTATCTTCCACTTCTGTTGGTTAGTTTGCTTCCTCTTTCTTCCACCCCTATAACTCCTTTGCAATTTGTCACAAATATTAAGGCCATGCAAGCATGAACTCTATGTTTCAATTTAACAATTTTCCTTTCCCATCAATTTCTTAACTTGGAAACATTGCCTACTGAGGCTGTTTCTGTTACTAAAGAACTTGTTTTGAGGCTATAATTGGAATCCTGCTTGTATGTTTAGTTTCATTGAATCCAAATAAGAAACACAAAGTACTCTAGACTCTAGTTGCCTTAGCTTTGTATGAATGAAGTTTTCAGCATTGGTTCAGACTTGAGAGAAGCTAGTATATATAGCTTCATTGCCATCACATGCAATGTGTTGTCCCGTACGTGTCTTCAAAAAAAGCCAGTGCAGGAAACCAACTTTAAACGTTATAAGCCAGTTTTAGCTCACTTTAAATGTAATGTCATCCACTATGGCAGCAAAAAATACTTAAAACCACTGCTAGGGTCAAAAGTTTTGGTGGCCTATATATAGAGACGTCTATAGGTAGCAGCCATTCACACTCATGCCTTATAATTTCAACACCCTTATTTGAAAGCCTGTTTGTTTTAGTATAATCCACTTACAGTATATAATATATTATGTTTTAATTGGTAGCAGAGAATCTAAGAAGTTCAGTTCATATAAACTTGAAGGTGGCGTAGTTGGAGGTTGGAGACCACAGTTGCAGACATTAAAAGCAAAGGCAGCAGTTATACATGGCGTAAAGCACAAGGTTTGCATTTCTACTAACTGCTCTCACCTTTCTTTCTTTCTTTCTTTCATATGTCTTTTAAGTTAAAATGACATTTGTTTTGGCACTCTACCTACCTGCTTCCTACTTCATGTCCATGTTTGATGTTTCTTCCAAAGTCCACAACCCAGTAACTAGTAAAACACTCTCGTGAATGCTTTATTTTCTTTCTGTTTTCTTCTTTGTGTGTATATATGCATGGGTAGTAGGGTCTTATTTAGTCATTTTGTCATCATTGCACAATACCTGTCCTTCCCACACTTTTTGTTATTAATTATCACAATTAATCAATTAATTATTGATTACTTCAAATGAATATTTTATACCATTTACCCTACAAGTTTATAAAATAATCTTTAAATTCTGTTTTAAATAAAATTCACGTAACTTTTACAACTCAAAGATAAGGTATAGAAGCAATTTTTCATCTCATACAGTCGTAGAATAGGTGTATACGTTAAGAAAATAAAAATATATTTTCTAACCATGTTATTCATACAAAATATCTCGATTTAACCAACTATTAGTTTTTAATGAAAAATTTGACAGACTAGTTTGATTGATATCATTTGAACTCAATTCACTTGAATCAATGATTTAAATAAAAATTGTATATGTTAACTTTTTGAAAAGAGAAATATTTATTATATTTAAAAAGTATTAACTATTTATTTTTAAAGTAATAAAAGTATTTTTTTAAGAGAGTAATTCAAAGTATTTAATAATGTGTATTTAACATTTTTTCAAGTCTTTGCAAACATGACTTTGTCTTGCCTAGCCTTGCAAAAAATTGTCATTTTTATGTGGATATTATCTTAGGGAGTGTTTGGTAGAAAAAAAAAATGTACTTAAAATCATGTTCATGATAATCATGATTTATAAAAATGATTAAAGTATATTTGATTATTTATAAATGTAATGTATGTTGTAATTTATTATTTAAGAATAATAGAAAATGATAAGAAAAAAAAAATAACGTACAAATTAATGTCACTATTGTTAAAAATGTCCGTACCCTTGTGCAGAGGATAACAAGTCGTTAATTGGGACGTTCTTTCTTTGTTACCCTACCATTTACCAACATTCAGCGGTGAGGGACAGTGCAAAGTGGTGATAGAGGTGCCTTGTTCCTTGTGGTGAACCTGTGCTTATTAATCATATTTATTATGCATATTTAGTTAAATTCATTTTAAGATATAGTAATTATTTTCATAAAATTTACAAAATATATTTAGAATATGATTACTTCTCCTAAAAGTTTTTATTAACCAAACACAAGAGCTTCATTCTGAACCTCCTGGCCCCACCCAAGAAGGGACAACGTCATTTGGATGTTTGCTTAATTATGAAATAAAATTCAATTTCACTATTTTATGGCGAGTGATCAAATCAGAATTAACATGATTTTCCAAAATTAAGACTTTATACATATTATTTTAGTTATTATTATTAAATAAATATTATTCTAATCTTTATTATTAGATATATAATAGTATATTAATAATTTAATATGTGAATATCCTTATGTCTTGTATATGAAGATGACGGTAAGGAAAATATTGGAACAAAAGTCGTGTTAGACAATAGAAGTTAGTATAAAAGGAGAATCAAATTAAATTTTTTAATCAAAGTTTGGAGATGAAATTATTTATTTGCCAACTTTATATGTTTTAGTTTTTCAGGGAAGTATGTAACAAATATTATTTTTTAACTCGTTAATGTTTCTAAAAAATTGTGGATTTCTGAATTTACGAGACAACAATTATATATATATATATATATATATATATATATATCATTTATAAATATACTTTTATATATTTATTTTTAGTTTTTTAGTTAAAATGGAAATTAATATTGTATTTTT